ATTGATGCGGCTAGTGGAGGAGCTTTGATGGACAAGACCCCTGCAGCTGCAAGATATTTGATTTCGAATATGGCAGAGAACTCACAGCAATTCAGTTCTAGGCATGTGACCATATCTGTGCATGAAACAACAACTACCACTGTGGCTGCAGTCGATAATCAAAGGCTGGAAAATAAGCTTACGGAGTTAACTTCATTAGTGAGGCAACTAGCAATGGGACAGTGTCACAGACATGTGGTATATGTTCAGGTAATCATTACACGGATGCTTGTCCTTAGCTGCAAGAGACATCCAATGCACCGTCCCATGTGGTGGCATGTATACATCCTCCGTACCAGCAGCAGCAGTAGTATAATCCATTTACACCTACATATAATCTAGGGTGGAGGAATTATCCTAACCTGCAATATGGTCTAACCCAACACAACATTAGCAGAGGTATAATTACCAACAGCCACAGCCTGTGCAGCATCTAGTCCACCAGCCAGCACAGCCATAGCTGAAATATATTCCTCCTCCTCTTAGATAGCAAGCTCCACAACAGCCACCTATGCAACAACCTAATTCTGGCCCTTCTCTGGAAGAATTGATGAACTAGATGGCTACACAGAGTCTGCAGTTCTAGCAGAATGTTTCAGCCACTATACAGGATTTGCATACCCAGATTGGGCAATTAGCTACCTCAATGAATAATCTACAGCAACAAAGGTCTGGAGCGTTACCTTCTCAACCTATGGTGAATCCTAAAGGTAATATCAGTGCTATCACTTTGAGAAGCGGCAAAGAGCTGGATAACAGCCCGGTGTAGGCCAAACCAACCCAGTCTAGTGCAGATGTCTTAGAGAAGTCTGTGCAGCAGCAGCAGATCCCTTTTCCATTTCCATCTAGAGTTTCTACATCAAAGAGAGTGGAGTCTGATCAAGAGCTGCTAGATACTTTCAAAAAGGTGGAGATAAATATACCACTGTTGGATGCCATTAAACAGATTCTTAGGTATGCGAAATTTTTGAAGGAGTTATGTACATACAAGAGGAATTTGAAGAAGAGAGCAGTTTAAACAGTCTCATCCTTATCTCAGTCCAGTCTTCCACAAAAATGTGATGTTCCAAGCACATTCTCTATACCCTGCACTATTGGAGAAGTAACCTTTACTAATGCCTTGCTGGACTTGGGAGCTTCCATTAATGTTATGCCATCAGCAGTGTATAAAATGCTACATTTGTGAGACTTGAAGCTAACCAATGTGATCATTCAATTGGCAAACCATAGCACAACTCAACCTTTAGGAGTGCTTAAAGATGTGTTGGTAAAAGTCAACTAGTTAATTTTTCCAGCTGACTTCTATATTCTTGATATGCAGGATGAGAATTCTACATTGATTCTGGTGAGGCCATTTTTAATGACTGCGAGGACTAAGATTGATGTTCATACAGGCACATTGTCTATGGAGTTTGAAGATGACACAGTTCACTTCAATATTTTTGATGCCATGAGACATCCAGCTGAGAGCCATTCTATGATTTTTGACCATTTTATTTTTCTAGTTGATATTGATGTTATAGGTTCTGATGTTGCTGCAGATGTCGATGTAGATGTAGATTTGGATTCAGACTTTGATGTTTTACCATGCTGCACCTGTGATAGTGGCATATGTTCCATTTGTGTTGAGATTGATCTTTCCATATCTTCTGTTGTTTTACCTTCCATTACAGGTGCAGGTCCACATTCTGTTATGTTCATGGCTGTTGTAGTCCCACAACCTCCATTATCATTTGTTCAGCAGCCGCTCTTATTAGAGTTGAGTCCTCTACCAAACCATCTTAAATATGCCTATCTAGATGCAGAGCAGAGGTTTTCAGTGATTATTTCCACCAGCCTTTTGGAAGATCAGGAGGAGAAGCTGCTGCATGTCCTAAAGGTGCACAAGAAGGCCATTGGTTGGACCTTGATTGACATTCCTAGAATCAGTCCAGCTATATGTATACACAGGATTCACTTGGAGGATGAGTCTAGACCAGTGAGACAACTCCAAAGAAGACTCAATCCTACCATTCTTGATGTAGTAAAGAAGGAGGTGACCAAGCTACTAATGGCTGGGATCATCTACCCCATTTCTGATAGTACATGGGTTTCACCTGTCCAAGTGGTGCTCAAGAAGTCTGGTATTACTGTTGTGTAGAACCAGGAGAATGAGATGATTTCCACCAGAGTTGCCAATAAATGAAGAGTATGTATTGATTATAGGCGACTCAACCAGGCTACTAGAAAGGACAACTTCTCTCTCCCATTCATCGATCAGGTCATAGAGAGATTAGCAGGTAAATCCCATTATTGCTTCCTGGATGGTTTTCTGGTTATATGCAGATTCATATTGCTTCTGAGGATCAACACATGACCACTTTCACTTGTTCTTTTGACACTTTTGCTTATAAAAGGATGTCAAAGGTGTATGTTGAGTGTATTCTCTGATTTAATTGAAAATTGCATGGAGGTATTTATGGATGATTTTACTATTTACGGTTCCTCATTTGATTCATGTTTGCATAGCTTGACCAGAGTTTTGGAAAGATGTGTTGAAACTAACCTTGTGCTTAATTATGAGAAATGCCACTTTATGGTAAGAGAAGGTGTAGTTTTAGGGCATCTTATTTTTTAGAGGGGAATATAGGTTGATAAAGCAAAGATTGATGTTATTTCCTCTCTGTCTTACCCCACGTCTGTGCGGGAGGTGCGTTCTTTCCTTGCACATGCAGGTTTTTACATGAGATTTATCAGAGACTTCAGCATGATTGCTCTGCCACTGTCCAGTCTTTTGCAGAAAGACGTACCATTTTTATTCACTGATTCATGTAAGGAGACGTTTAAGGAGTTAAGGAGGAGACTCACTACAGCATCTATCATGCAACCACCAGATTGGAAGTTTCTCTTTGAGTTGATGTGTGACGCCTCTGACTTTGCACTTGGAGTTATATTATCTCAGAGAGTTGATCATGCTACACTGAAATTTCTATTGAAGAAGTCAGATGCTAAACCCAGATTGATCAGATGGATGCTTCTTCTGCAGGAGTTTGATATTGATATAAAAGACAGGAGTGGTGTGTTGAATCAGGTTGCTGATCACTTGAGTCGTATTGAAGAGACCATTGATCCTTTACCTATTTGTGACAGTTTTCCTAATAATTATTTATTTGCTCTGTATTCTATAGAATATGTACCCTGGTTTGCTGATATTGTAAATTATTTGGTTACTTCTGTTGTACCTCCTGATGCATCTAGATCCCAGGTTGATAAGCTTAAGAGTAATGCTAAAGATTATGTCTGGGATGATCCATATATGTGAAAATTTTGTAATGACTAGGTTATTTGTCGGTGTGTTTCTGACCATGAGTTTCAAGATATTCTGCATTTTTGTCATGACGCACTGTAGGAGGCCATTTTGGACTACAGAAAACAGTGATGAATCCACATTTTATTGGATTTTTACTTGTCTTTTTAGTGTTTCTTAATAGAAAAAGTAGATTTAGGAAGCGTAAATAACATAAAAAAATCATTTTGGTCAATTATTATAGATTTCTTAATTTTTAGTTAATTTACATTGATTTACATAGAAATAATTTACATTTTTGATCATTTGAATAGTTGTGTAGGAATTTCTAGGCTTATTTCATGAATTTCTAGCCTTTGAGAAAGTTTGAGTTGAAAGTGATCACTTTGGATTCCATAGTGGACACTACATCAAGCTAGATCCAGAAGGGCAGACCAAAATGATCACTTTGATTCCATAGTCTGACACTACAGAGATCCCAGTTTGAAGAGGCGATGCGCGTAGTACTTTGGTTCTATAGTAGACACTCTAGAGCAGACCAAAGTGATAACTCTGATTCTAAAGTGAACACTTCATATAAGGCCAAAGCCACCAGTCTTGCACGTAGCTACTATGAACCCATAGTAGACACTTCAAACAGGATCAACAACATGGTGACCTGCGGGTAACCACTATGAAACGATAGTAGCTACTATGAGAGTAGTGAGCGTCATCACTATGAAACCATAGTAGCTACTTGATCAATTGGATTTTTATATGCTTATTTTCTCTCATTCTTAGCTCATTAATCCCTTTTTGTGCTTAATTGGTTTTAATTGGACCATTTTATGTTGTTCGGATTTCATTTGGGCTTTATTTAATTTTTCCAGCATTAGGCAAATTCTGACATTGTTTTGATTTTTGGGTCATATCTTGAGTTGTAGGGCTTATCTCATTGTGATTTTTGATTTGTAGAAAAGTTTAGAGATAGGTCCACAAGTTGTATGGAGAGATCGAAGACCAATTCTGGTGTTAAGAAGCTGACTTTGGGCCTAGAAGTGAACTGAAGCGGTGCAGTTGTAGATCCTGAGTAAGGTGTAGTATTTGGGCCATATCTCAGTCCACAGACATCCGATTAAGCTCATTCTAGTGGCGTTTTGAAGCTGACATCCAAGGCTACAATTGTCCTTCAGGCCACTAGTTAAAATGAGGCCGTTTTCATATCCGAAATAACAGTAGAATGTTATGAATGAAATTTTTAGGGAGAATTTTGAATTTAATTTTGCTCACTCTCTCTCCCCCCCCTCTCTCAGCCTCTCTTACCTTTACGACTTGTTGTTTTCCCTCCATTAATGGAGGCTTAGATTTCCATCTAATTCAAGGATTAAAAGAGACGTGACACTCTTGAGGATTAGTCTCACATTGGTATAAATTTAATAACAATTTCGGTTTTATCTCTTCCTTATTTTCTCCTTTTGCTAATTATATTTTTAAATTGAAGTTATTCGTTTGGATTGATGATTATGCATTTGGTTGATTACGTATTATTCGATTGATGTATATAATTTCGTTTTAAGGAACATGAATTGGATTTTCAGGTTTGAAAACTACGATTAACAGCATTGGTAAATTAAATTGGCATAATTCAATTAGGTTCTAGAGTTTTCTGAACTTTAAGTGATTATGTGTTAATCGAATGCATGAAGGTTTTCGTGTGAATGTTGAGTTCGAATTGAGGTTTCATTCGGATTCATTGTTAATTACCGAATTGCTTGTTGATGTATTCTCTTAAAAAATTCGGTGATAGAGTAGTTATTGTTCTTCTTAATTCTTGGATTGAAATTTCAATTTCTGTTCACTCTTCATTCTAATTATAATTAGTTGCATTTTTTTTTCCTTTTATAAACAAACCCCTTGTCTTATATACTCTCTAAATAGATAAATTCGTCCTTGTAATTCTTTGAGAAACGACCCTAGTTGCTTACCTCATATTATAGTAATTAGGTGTATTTTGACTCGTGTGCGACCACGTGTCAAATTGGCGCCGTTGCTGGGGATTCATTGGCGTTTTTAACATATTTAGAGTGTTAATCTTCCTTATTTTGTTTTGCGTTCTGTGTGCAAAATTTTGGTTTGCAATTCTGGTTGTTGTTTTGAGGTATTTATTGTGAGTCTTATAGGTGGAAAACTTCACTACCAGTTTGACTTTGGAGTTTGAGGCTGAATTTTGGTATCCAAATAGCACTCATCACGCTGATCAACTTTGTCCAAAGGAGCCCCGCAAATTCTTTCATTTGGTAGGTGTTTTTCTACAAAAGGGTAAAAAGGTAATTTTTCTGGCGACTAACTCGGATTGGGCTAAAACTTGATGAGACATTGTAGAGAAATTCAACGATCAATACCACAAAATTTAGGGACTAAATTGAGTGGTGCACCCCTGAAATTCTAAAATTCCATCGTTTAGACCACTTTTTCATTTTTTTTAGTATTTTAAGATTTTTAAAAATAGTAAAAAAATTCTCAAAAATAGAAAATTTTATTTCTAGTACTTCTGTGGTGGTCCCATATTTTTAAAAAAAATATTTCGTTGGTTTTATTTCCCTATTAGCATTTTGTCGGCATATTGTGTGTTTAGTATTCTTATGTGTCTGATGTTGCATGACACGAGCTAACCCTGGTGAATTGCATCCTTTTAATCCTAAAATTGATAGGACATTTCATCATTTAAGTAGAACACATAAAAGGCTTTCCTTTACTAAAAGGCTTTCCTTCACTAATATTCAAGTTGATAATAGTGTAGGTTCTACTAGTAGTGTTAATCATTTTGTTTTTGTGCAGTCTGAGTCTGAGTCTTTGCATTCGGATTCCGAGGATATTATTAATATGGCTAACAGAATTTTGAAGGAATTTGTAGCACCCCTGATGTCAACTATCAAGCTTTGGCAATTCAGTCTCTGAATTTGGATGCAGACTTTGAGCTCAAATAAGGGTTGATACATCTGCTGCCCAAGTTTTATGGTTTAGCTGGGAAAGACCCTCACAAGCACTTGAAGGAATTTCGTGTGGTATGCTCAACCATGAAGCCACATGGAGTGGAGGAGGACCACATTAAGCTGAGAGCATTTCCTTTTTCTTTGGATGGATCCGCCAAGGATTGGTTGTACTACTTGCATCTTGGTTCCATCACAAGCTGGCAGGACATGAAGAGGATGTTCTTGGAGAAGTTCTTCCTTGCCTCAAGAGCTGCTTCTATTAGGAAAGAAATTTGTGGCATAAGGCAAATTACTAGAGAGACTCTGGATGAGTATTGGGAGAGGTTCAAGAAATTGTGTGCAAGCTGTCCACACCATCAAATAAGCGACCAGCTCCTTATTCAATATTTTTACGAAGGTCTCATGCTAATGGACAGAAGTATGGTTAATGCCGCTTCTGGAGGGGCTTTGGTAGACAAAACTCCCACTGCAGCTCGTGAATTGATTGCAAACATGGCTGCCAATGCACAACAGTTTGGTACCCGAGCCATGGTGTCTACAAGAGGAGTGAACAAATTGAAAACCTCTGATACAAACCAGCAAAGAATGGAGAACAGAATAGAAGAGTTGACAACTTTGGTAAGGCATTTGGCACTCGGTCAGACACAGCAACCTCAACAGTCCATCCCAACAGCAATAAGCGTTTGTGGAATTTGCTGTGTACCAGGTCACGCAACAAATCAATGTCCACAAATGCAAGAAACCAATGAAACAGTTGCTGGAATTTTTCCTGGAAAACCTTTCCAACAACAACAGCATCAAAGGAGTTATAACTCCTTTTCCAATACATACAATCTCAGATGGAGAGATCACCCGAACCTGAGGTATGGTAACTCTAATCAGTTCCAACAACAGCAACAACAACAACAACAACCTCAATATCAATTCAGGCACCACATTGCAGAACAAAATATGAGGCAGCAGTATTCACAGCAAGCTAAAGCAGACCAACCACAAAGCAGTAGCTTAGAACCAAGCCTAGTAGATTTGGTGAAGCAGATGGCAACCAGCAGTGTCCAATTTCAGCAGAGAACAAAAGCCAACATCCAGAATCTGCAAACATAGATTGGTCAGTTGGCTACAACAGTAAATGAGCTAAAATCCCAAGGTTCTGGCAACCTTCCCTCCCAATCCGTGAGTAACCCAAGGAATGTGAGCTCTATCACTTTGAGAAGTGGCAAGTAGCTTGAAGTTCCAGATTCTGCAGAACATTCTGCTGCAGCAGAAAAATCAAATTCTGCAGAGATAGACGCAGCTGAAGAGCAACCAGAGCCATCCAACAAGAGAGACAGTAGTCATTCTGAACAAAACATTCCGCTGTCTTTTCCAAATAGAGTGACTCAAAACAAGAAGATAGCAGAGGTAGAAATGGACAAGGGGATCATGGAAACTTTTAGGAAAGTTGAAGCCAATATTGCACTCCTAGAAGCTATCAAACAGATCCCAAAGTATGCCAAGTTTCTCAAGGACTTGTGCACTCATAGAAGAAGGCTAAAGGGAAATGAAAAAGTGAGCATGGGCAGAAATGTTTCTGCCATCATTCAGCCAAGCATTTCTCCAAAATGCAAGGATCCTGGGACTTTCACCATTCCATGCATCATAGGAAGAAAGCAATTCAGTCAAGCCATGTTGGACCTTGGAGCTTCCATCAATGTGATGCCAAAATCAGTCTACCAGTCTTTGCACATTTGAAAGATCAAGCCAACGGGAGTGGTGATCCAACTTGCCAACCAAAGCACAACACACCCTGAGGGAGTTTTAGAAGATGTGTTGGTAAGAGTGAATGATCTTATTTTTCTTGCTGATTTTTTTGTGCTAAACATGGAGGATGATATGCATGTTGATCAACCAACATTGATCTTAGGTAGGCCATTTTTGAGAACTGCTAAAACTAAGATTGATGTACACTCTGGTACTTTATCCATGGAATTTGGAGACAACAAGGTGCATTTTAAATTGCATGATGCCATGAGATATCCACCAGAAGAGAATTCTGTGTTTCATTTAGATATCATTGATACATTGGTTGATGATATGCATGTGAATTTGTGTGCTGAGTTTCCTGAAATTGTAGGCATTAGAGATGACTTTCAATGTTCAGATTGTGATGAAATTCATGATTTATGTGCTGTTTGTGCCGAATTTAATGCATGCATATATGGTTCAGCGTTTGCACAAAATTTTTCTGAGGAGTTACATGTTGATCCTGGAAGTTTAAGTTCTGAAGTTATTAGAATAGATTCTGATTCTAATTTTGCTGTAGTGAAAAATACTGATTGTACACATTCTGATTGTTCTGTGGGTTGTGCAAATAACTCTTATGCTGATCTTTCTGTTGTGGGATATGATAATGTTCTTGTGCAAGATTTTTCACACGTTGCAGGTACCGAGATTAAAAAAATAGGGCAAATTCCAAGATTAGCACCCTCCATACTTGGAGCTGAAGCCTTTGCCAGAAAATTTAAAGTATGCATTCTTGGCACTAGATGAGAAGCTGCCAGTCATCATAGCCCAGGATTTGCAACCAGAACAAGAAGAGAAGTTGCTAAACATTCTGAGGCAGAACATAAATGCTTTAGGCTGGACATTGGCTGACATACTTGAAATTAGCCCCTCTACATGCATGCATAGAATTCAGTTAGAAGAGGGAGTGAAACCAGTGAGGCAGCCTCAGAGGAGATTGAACCCTCTGATTTTGGATGTGGTCAAGAAAGAAGTCAGCAAGCTTCTAGCTGCTGGCATCATTTACCCAATTTCAGACAGCAAGTGGGTGAGCTCGGTGCAAGTGGTTCTAAAAAAGATTGGAATAATAGTAGTAAAGAACTCAAAGGATGAGCTAGTTCCCACAACAGTGCAGAATAGCTAGAGAGTCTGCATTGATTACAGGAAGCTGAACCAGGCCACCAGGAAGGACCACTTCTCATTACCCTTCATTGATCAGATGCTGGAAAGATTGACAGGTCAGTCAAGTTACTGTTTTCTTGACAGATTCTTTGGTTATTTTCATATTCATATTACACCTGAGGATCAAGAGAAAACAACCTTCACCTTTCCATTTGGTACATTTGCATACTAGAGAATGCCTTTCAGTTTATGCAATGCCCCAGGTACGTTTCAGAGGTGCATGATGAGCATTTTTTCTGATTTTCTAGAGAATTGCATGGAAGTCTTCATGGATGATTTTACTATTTATGGTACTTCATTTGATGCATGCTTGGATAGCCTTGCTAGGGTATTGCATAGATGTGTTGAGTCTCACCTTATTTTGAATTATGAAAAGTGTTATTTTATGGTTAGGCAAGGTATAGTCTTAGGACATGTTATTTCTGGTGAGGGTATAGCTGTTGATAGTTCTAAGATTGATGTTATTGCTTCTTTACCTTACCCTACATGCGTGCGGGAGGTGCATTCTTTTCTTGGTCATGCAGGTTTTTACAGGATATTTATTCATGATTTCAGTAAAATTTCCCTTCCACTTTCCAAGCTGTTGTAGAAGGATATAGACTTCCAGTTTGATGACGAGTGCAGGAGAGCTTTTGATCAATTGAAGCGGCACCTCATTTCTACTCCTGTCCTTCAGTCACAAAACTGGGAATATCCGTTTGAGCTCATGTGTGATGCATCAAACCAAGTTGGAGCTGTACTTTTCCAGAGAATTGGAAAGATTCCTCATGTCATAGCATATGCTTCTCGGACTCTAGATTCTGCACAGGCTAACTACACCACTACAGAAAAAGAGCTTCTGGCTATCATTTTTGCTTTAGATAAATTTCATGCTTATCTATTAGGAACTAAAGTGACTATTTTCTCTGATCATGCAGCATTGAAGTTCCTATTGAAGAAGCTAGATGCTAAGCCCAGACTTATCAGGTGGATGTTGCTGTTGCAGGAGTTTGACATAGAGATCAAGAATAAGAGTGGAGTTGGGAACCTGGTAGCAGACCACTTGAGTCGGATTCCACAGACTTTGGAGCCTCTACCTATCTGTGAGACTTTCCAGATGAGAAGCTTTTGGAGCTGCGAGGTAAGGACCCATGGTATGCTGACTTGGTTAACTATCTAGTTGCCTCTGAGTTGCCTGCTTATTTTAAAAAGCATCAGATAGAGAAACTTAGGAGTGAGGCCAAATATTATGTTTGGGATGATCCTTATTTGTGGCGCATGTGTAGTGATCAGATTATTAGGCGCTGTGTGCATGAGTTTGAGATTCCTTCCAGTTTGCATTTTTGTCATACACTTGCTTGTGGTGATCACTTTGAGCCACAACGCACTGCTAGGAAGGTCTTAGATGCAGGTTTTTACTGGCCCACATTGTTTCGGGATTCTTACACCTATTGTAAGAATTGTGAACAATGTCAGAAGACGGGTACTATCTCACGTAGAAATGAGATGCCTCAACAACCATTATTGTTTTGTGAGATATATTTGATGTTTGGGGCATGGGTCCATTTCCTGTCTCATTTGGTTTTGTTTATATTTTGTTGGTTGTTGATTATGTCTCCAAATGGGTGGAGGCCAAGGCCACCCGAACTGATGACTCTCATATTATTGTAGATTTTGTCAAATCACACATTCTTTGCATGTTCGGAGTGCCCTGGGCAATCATCAGTGATCAAGGAAGCCAATTTCTGTAATAGGAACATGACAGCTCTACTAAAGAAATATGGTGTCACTCACAAGGTTTTAACTCTATACCATCCGCAGACTAATGGACAAGCAGAGGTATCAAATAGGGAGCTGAAACATATTCTGGAGAAAACAGTTCAGACAAACAGGAAGGATTGGAGCAAGAGGCTTGAAGATGCACTATGAGCTTACCGCACTGCCTACAAGACCCCTTTAGAGATGTCCCCTTATAGAATTGTCTTTGGCAAGGCATGCCACCTTCTGGTGGAAATTGAGCACAAAGCATATTGGGCAGTTAAGAACTGCAACCTTGATATGAGTCAGTCCGAACTTCACAGGAAGTTCCAACTTCAGGAGTTAGAAGAGATTCGGTTGGAAGCCAATGAGAACTCCCGCATGTACAAAGAAAAGACAAAACTCATTCATGATAAGATGTTGCTGCGGAAGGAATTCTCCATAGGCCAAAAAGTGCTTCTCTACAAATCTCGCCTCAAGCTGTTTTCTAGTAAGCTTCGTTCTAGGTGGCTTGGCTCCTATATAGTAACTAAGATTTTTCCATATGGTGCTGTACAGATTTTGGAGCCTGGAACAGATAAAGTATTCACAATGAATGACCACCACTTGAAGCCTTTTCATGAGGACACACCCTTGGAGACCATTGAGGAGGTCCGCTTGCTAGCAGCCACTTACACTTGATAGGGGAGTTTCTTTTTCTCTTTCCCCCTACTTCACTTCCTTACATTTCCATTATGTATTACATTGAGGACAATGTATAATTGAAGTGTGGGGGAATAGTTAGTTTAGTAATATGTTGTTTGGTAATTAGTCTTTCATTTTGGTAATTAGTCTTTCATTATAGATTTGTTCCTTGGTTTATTTGCTTGTTAAATAAATAAATAAATAAATTTTGCTTTGTTCTTACTCTTGTTTTCCATTGTTGAATTGAAAGTTGTGAGTTAAGGCATTAGGGAGGATAGGGTTCCAACATGATTTCATTTTTACTTTTTTCGCTTGATATTTGTAAATGGGTGATAGATTTTGACTTGTATATTTGAATATATTGGACTTTACCCTTGTGAGCTTTTGAGTCTTATTTTGGATGGTTACACTTCATGCATCCTTTTCTTTCTTGTGTGCTTTCCCTCTTAAATTTTGTCATTCTAGAACTTGTTTTGACTCTTCTTTGAAGCTACATTTTTCAATGCATTCATGAAAATGATAGAGGAATTTCTTTCATTTTACCCACTTGGCCATATAGCCTACCTTGCATTTTGCCCATTGTTTAGCCCCTTTGAGCCGTATTGACCATTCTTTGATTTCTAACACATTACAAGCTTTAAGTGGAAAACCATGTTATACCCAACTTTAGGGAATAGGGAGTGCATTAGTTTCATCATTATTGTTGTATTTGGAATCTAGTGTGGGGGTTTAAAAGGATGCAAGGCATCTCAAAAAAAAAAAAAAAGAAGAAGAAGAAGAAAAAGAAGAAAGAAAGAAAGAAAGAAATAAAAATAAAAATAATAATAATAAAATGGGGAATTTTGATAAAGGGAAAAAGAAGTCCAAAGAGAATAAGTGTGTGTTATGGCTTGATTTACCCAATGAACAATGTTACTTCTATTCTCTTAGGTTGTATCTTGTCATATCCTCATATTTTCCTACTTTTACCTTAGCTCCATTACAACCTTGAATAAAGTCCTCTTGAGTTGTGTTTGCATTTGATTGTAAGTAGTAGAGAAGTAGAAGATTAACAAGCTTATGGTAATGCATTGTCTTTTGAGGTATCTTGAGTGATACAATTTGAACCATACACTTGAGAGTTGAGAGTTCTATATACCATCTTGTGAGGTCTTGCATACTTGATCTATACACTTTGAATGATAATGCTTGGCTTACATTTTTGAGAGGTGTAGAGTTGAATGTTTCGATTGTTGGGAAACTCTTGATACCTTGTTTGACCTTGTGTCCCTAACCTTAGCACTTTTGATGATTCATTGAACAATTTGTTTATTCATTTTGCTTATTGCATGATTATTTGCCTAGTTGAGTCTTTCATGAGGACATGCAAGAGCTAAGTGTGGGGAAATTTGAACAATTGGATTTTTATATGCTTATTTTCTCTCATTCCTAGCTCATTAATCCCTTTTTGTGCCTAATTGGTTTTAATTGGACCATTTTATGTTGTTCGGATTTCATTTGGGCTTTATTTAATTTTTCCAGCATTAGGCAAATTATGACATTATTTTGGTTTTTGGATCATATCTTGAGTTGTAGGGCTCATCTCATTGTGATTTTTGATTTGTAGAAAAGCTTAGAGATAGGCCTACAAGTTGTATGCAGAGGTCAAAGACCGATTCTGGTGTTAAGAAGCTGACTTTGGGCCTAGAAGTGAACTGAAGCGGTGTAGTCGCGGATCCTAAGCAAGGTGTAGTATTTGGGCCATATCTCAATCCACAGACATCCAATTAAGCCCATTCTAGTGGCATTTTGAAGCTGACATCCAAGGCTATAATTGTCCTTCAAGCCACCAGTCAAAATGAGGCCGTTTTCATAGCCGAAATAACAGCAGAATGTTACGAATGAAATTTTTAGGGAGAATTTTGAATTTAATTTTGCTCACTCTCTCCCCCCCTCTCTCTCAGCCTCTCTCACCTTTATGACTTGTTATTTTCCCTCCATTAATGGAGGCTTAGATTTCCATCTAATTCAAGGATTAAAAGGGACGTGACACTCTTGAGGATTGGTCTCACATTGGCATAAATTCAATAACAATTTCAGTTTTATCTCTTCCTTATTTTCTCCTTTTGCTAATTATATTTTTTGAATTGAAGTTATTCGTTTGGATTGATGATTATGCATCTGGTTGATTGCGTGTTATTCGATTGATGTATGTAATTTAGTTTTAAGGAACATGAATTAGATTTTCAGGTTTGAAAACTACGATTAACAGCATTGGTAAATTAAATTGGCACAATTCAATTAGGTTCTAGAGTTTTCTGAACTTTAAGTGATTATGTGTTAATCGAATACATGAAGGTTTTCGTGTGAATGCTGAGTTCGAATTGAGGTTTTATTCGGATTCATTGTTAATTACCGCTTGTTGATGTATTCTCTTAAAAAAATCTGGTGATAAAGTAGTCATTGTTCTTCTTAATTCTTGAATTGAAATTTCAATTTCTGTTCACTCTTCATTCTAATTATAATTAGTTGCGTTTTTTTTTCCTTTATAAACAAATCCCTCGTCTTATATACTCTCTAAATAGATAAATTCGTCCTTGTGATTCTTTGAGAAACGACCCTAGTTGCTTACCTCGTACTATAGTAATTAGATATATTTTGACCTGTGTGCGACCACGTATCACTACTATGGACGACGACCACTTCACTATAAATAGATTTTTACCATTTAGGGTAAGGGAATTTTTGCAGAACCTTTTCTTTTAGATTTTTTAGGGTTTTAGGATACAACGCATAGACTATTCTCTCTTGCCCCAATTACACCCACACTCTTCAAAGCAAATAACTAAATTAAACCTCACAACACTCTAATACAAGAGTATAAGAAAAGTCAAATATAAGCTTAAAGTATTTCTGATTGGGGTTCTTTGATACCATGGACTCAGGTCCATTATATAGCCTTGTTCACCCACTCCCTTATTTATCCCAGGTGATGTGGGACTTCTTCTAACATACCTTGAACAATGTGAGATTTTTAAGATGTACTATTTTAATCAATCTCAACATATTTCACTCCAATTAACTGTACATTGATTTGTGTTGAGATTCAATTTTCACGGTTTCAATAAGACTTCTCAAAATTGAGCACCCAAAAGCAAACAATATTTATTCTTTTATATATATATATATATATATATATATATATATATATATTTCAATACATGTATGTTAATAAAGTATCGATTACAAATATAAAATATTTTATATCATAAAAGATTATAATCAAACAATTGATTTTAGAGTAAAATTATCAATAAAAATGTACTAAATAGTATAAAGTGTGTAATTGATATGGTCTGATTTGATCCTAACGTATATGTACTAAATGATATTTTTTTAACATAAAAATGTGAAAATAAATTACAAACATCAAAATGATAAATATTTATGACTTAAATATAAAAATTGTATAATATTTTTAAAAATTAACGTTTTTATTTAAATAATGATTTGATTTTAAAAATTTTATAGTGTTAATCTTATGTAGCTTGTTACTTATATGAATTATTTTTTGTTTCATCTTTCAAAGTTGTGAATAACTTATCAATGTTGGCAACTTGTTATTTAAACAAATTACTAAGATCTCATATGTGAAATGATCATATCTTACATTATATCCTGCATTATATTGATGGCAAATAATGTTTAATTATATTAATTCTTTTACTTTATTTGAATTTTATATTTAGAAGAGGAGGGAAAATGATCTTACTCTTATTTAGAAGTTAATTAAATATGAGGGGATGAGTTAAAGAAATTCTTCAAAACTTCTCAAAATCCTACTAGCCTTATTTTTTTGAATTCTCTATTTTTTAGGTTGCAATGATTCGTGAAGTTTATAGTTTATATTTCTATTTATTAGATTAAATATTTATCATGGTTTAAAGTATAATAGCAAGAAAATAAAAATAAAATTATTTTTTTTAAATATTAATTTATATAGAAAGAAAAAAATTATTTTTATGTTGTTTAAAATAATAAAAAAATATGAATAAAAATATAAAAAGATAATAATATCATTTACATACTAAATCTTCTACTATCTTTTTCTTCTAATATTAAACATCTAGTAAAAAAAAAATTTAAAATTTTTTCTCCTTTTCTTTTAAACCTTTTAAATTTTTTCTTTTCCTTCAAATTCTTAAATAAAGACTAAAAGTAATTTTTATTGTGCTTCGTAAATTAATATTCCATAAAAGTCAGAATAAGCAATAAGGTAATTCGTATTTTTTCCTCTATCTTTAGTTGTCGTGCGTTCCCTTCAACTTGAACTGCAACAGTGCCTTAATAAACCTAAGTCCTAGGTCCAATACAAGCAAGCTTGATGGCCAACCCAACGACAATAATGAAAACAGCTGAAATTAATAGATTCATGATAAGTTCCTTGCAAAACAAAGAAGAAGAAACAATTAATGATATAATCAACTAATAAATTATGACTTAATTATTCAATCAAAAAGATTTATCCGGTTAAAATAATTAAAAAATTTAAATTGAAATAATAATAATTATTAACTATCCAAATTAAATTAGTTTGATATTTATTTTTTTCTACTTAAATAGTGTTTTTATGAATCCACACAATTTTAGTTCTTATGTTATCTTAAAAAATATATTCTATGTCTCTTTACACATAAAATTATTAATTTTACTAGAATTAATAGTTTATTTAAAAAATTATAAATATTTTTTAATTTTTAAAATATAAAAAATTATAACTATTAATTTAAATAAAATACATAATGTCTTTTTTTAAACTTACGTAACAAGCAACTTTTTTAACTTTACTCTTCTATTATTGAGATGAGATCTATGGCCTATTTTTAACTTCTCATTTTGTTTTAAATCGCGCACCAAGCCTTATTAGCTCATCCACGATCTTCTCTCAATCATACGAAGGACTAATTCTTTTGAGTTTGGGATACTGAGTTCGACAACATTGGTCCAGTAAGGTAATA